TATTCCATACAAAATTACATTCGATCCTAATGGCCCTCGCCAAAAAACACTAAATGAAATGTTAAATTTTCGTCAGCTTAAGTTTTTGCTTCTACGGCATCGTCTTGGCCGTTTGGTTGTCTGTTATAAACGACCACCTAACTTAGCGTCATTATTGATACGTGCTAAAATTAATCCTAATTTTAAGCCTACTCCGCTAGAACGATTAAATTCTTAGTATCTAAAACTAATTTAATAATTAAAGAAATTTAAGTTAATACAAATATTAACAAGTTGCGTGTTTTTTTAGTCTCTGTACAGCTGGGACAGGTATGATATTCGAAACAATCGAATATTAGGACCATGTTCTGCCCCTATATTAGGGGTCTTACTGTACTGGCGACTAAACTACTGACATTTGTAAAGTACCACTACTTCATGGAGTACGGTTACTTCAGAAATAACGTTTGCAAGTACATTTACTTCTTAAGTGGTTATGTCCCCATAACCCTGTAACCTGTACCCTATACTCTATCGCCATGTACCCATGGTACTATGTATCCATGTACTGTGTACCCAACTTCTGTGTACCCATGGCACCACAATCTGTAGAGATTTATATCCTTTGTTATCTGATGTACCTATCTCTGAGAACTTATATATCAAATTTTGCAGGTTTATGATTGAGCAAGCACTTCTTGTGTTTTATACACCATATTGCAGTATAAGAATGATTTGAATATCTTTCTTATACATACACTCAGTCATAATTTCTTTTGGCACTTTGTCTTAAAATTACTATGTAATTTTTAAGCTTTTTGTAAGCGCGCTTTAAAATTGAGTGGCTCACAGACGCCGGATATACACGTGGGAATTCTCACTGATGAAGGCTACCCAGCCGAAAGGAAAGGTCACTTTTGATTTTCCTTTGAGATACGTGTAAGCATACAATAGCATAGTATAGTTTATATATTAGTTTATATACTAGTCTAGCGTATATTGTATAGTGTATATATTTGTATACCTGGTATTCGAAGGGAGTTGACCGACCATGTCTACACCAGTAGACACAACCCTAAACCCTCCTCGACACCCCGTCGATTCAAGCTGCGATCCGGTGAGGCCTTTGAACCCTCCGTTTGATTGCGCTGCCACCCTTCCTGGATGAGCATATTACTGCCTCCTTTCGGAAGAAGGTGGCCCTTAATGGAAAAATCAAAGCCAAAAGGGTCGCCATCCAAAAGTTGAAGGAGCATGATGCCAATGGCACTTGCCCCAAATTGCTTCAGATTTCACATACGATGACTTTCTCAGATAGTCTTCGTGAATCTGATTCTGAATTTGTACAAATTCAAAGCGAACATTTTGAGGAGATTAAATGTCGCTACCTCAAGCAGGCAACTGCTATTGCTCTTAAAGTGCAACATAAGGAACTCAAAACTCTTAACATCAAATTTGGGAATTTGGATACGGAATTTTTCAATAAGACTTGTGAATTTTTCGATAGCCAGCAAACAGCCGCTTATCCTACCGTTCCTCTTACAAAGGCGCTTGTCGTTGGAATGGAGGTAGGATTTTGTGGCCGTTATTCGGGTGAATTTCACTTTCCCTATTTGATCGAATTGGCCAAACGTAAATATTGTGCCAAATGGTCAGAATATCTGGACGGTCTTAATGAGCGCCTCGCTTTAATGACAATCAAAGCCAAAGCCCTTGAGACTAAACGAGTCGCCGCCGAAGACACCGAAATGGGTCTTCCGGATGAGGCCAAGATTAAAGATCATGTATCTCAGGTGGCTGACGCAAAGTTCAAGAAACTGGAGTCTATGATTCGAAGCATGTCTAGCCCGAACCCCGAGTCGCGTCAAAAAAAACAGTCCCGCCGGGAAGAAGACCCAGTCACCTGGCCAGAAACCCAAACCCAAGCAACGCCTCCAAAACGCAAAAGGTGGTTACACTGGGCAAAACAAGCGAAAGCTCGCCGGTCACTCTTCCGGAAACAAAAACGCAAAGCCAAGAACCAAGCACTAAAAGCAGCTTCTTTAGCAGTTAAAACGTCTTTAATACAAATAAAGTCTTTAACCAAAACTAATGTTTTACGTTTATTTGGTGATCGACCGGTTTTTACTTATAACCTTCGTATTACGAATTTAGCATTTCATGACCTTCCCCCAAATGACACGAACCTTCCTCATGGTCTGTCTAAATTGTTAGGTCTCAGCTTTAAATTCTGTCCAACACCACCCCGAATTAAAACGGCAGCCTATTTGGCTGGGTTTGACTCACTAATTCGTTGTATTAAAATTAATGCTGCGTTTCGTGATAAACCAGATCGTACATATGCTAAACAACTCTATGTACCGAATCCATCTTGGAAACCCCCCGAATTAGCTAACTCCAATTTCACGCAATTTCTAAATCACACTAAATCCAAGTTAAATGATAGCTTGAACTTATATACATTTCGTCATAGCTACAATTTATCACATGAAGGTCGACGATTACTTCGTAAACTTCGTTGTATCCAAAGTCTAAGATTCTTGGCAACCGATAAAAATCTCGGTCCAGCGGTAATGTTACCGGAACAATATATCCGTTGGTGTTTAAATCACCTTCGTTCCGATGATATTTACATTAATTGTCCAAATATTCCATTACGTGCTCTACAACGAATGGTTACTAATTGGCACTCACGGGTTTGTAAGAAATACCCCGAACTTATACGAAATATTAAAATCGTAGTACATAACATTTCGACTACAATACCGGCTCGATTTTATGGAATGCCTAAAATTCATAAAACTCCGATGGGTTTTCGCCCAATTGTAGCGTCTGTTAATTCGCCACTATATGGCCTTTCTAAATGGATTGACTTTATGCTTCAACCATATATATTAGAATGTGCCCATATTTTACAAAGTAGTAGGCGTTTATTACCCATATTAAGCGATCTACATATCCCTCCAAATTCCTTTTTGGCTACATGGGATGCTACAGCATTGTACACCTCCATACCCAATTCGGCCGGATTACATGCGATATCGTGGTGGCTCCGCAACAATAAATATCGTGATATTCTTCTTGAAGGGATGAAACTTCTTATGGACCATAATTGGTTCGAATTTGGGAACACTTCTTGGCGTCAAACCCGTGGTGCTGCCATGGGTACGCCGACTGCTCCAAGTTATGCTACTTTATTTTTAGCATATTACGAGATCAATGTGCTTTTCCCAATGTTTAAAGAGTCTTTAGTGTTTTATACTAGGTATATTGATGATGTTTTTATTATATTTTCATACAATACAACACCTCCCTGGTATTATAATCGATTTTAAGCTGTTATGTCTCGTACCTTTCCAGGTATTCAATGGACATCACCTAGTCAACAACTTGATTTGACTATTGATGTACCACCTCATACTGCTGATTTTCTTGATTTAACTATTAATCTTGAAGATAATAAAATTTATACGCAAACATTTCAGAAAGCGTTAAATTTGTACTTGTATCCCTGTCCAACTAGTGCCCACCCGCCTGGTGTTTTTACAGGTTTAATACATGGTTTAATCCGCACATACTATATTCAAAATACTAAACGTATTGACTTTTTATCAACGTTACGACTTTTGTATAAACGCCTTCGTGCACGCGGATTTTCGGAATACTTCCTAAAGCGTACATTTACATTAGCTTACGCTAAATGTCGCGAGACAAATCCTAAAATTCAGGATAACTCTCAGATTATTCCATACAAAATTACATTCGATCCTAATGGCCCTCGCCAAAAAACACTAAATGAAATGTTAAATTTTCGTCAGCTTAAGTTTTTGCTTCTACGGCATCGTCTTGGCCGTTTGGTTGTCTGTTATAAACGACCACCTAACTTAGCGTCATTATTGATACGTGCTAAAATTAATCCTAATTTTAAGCCTACTCCGCTAGAACGATTAAATTCTTAGTATCTAAAACTAATTTAATAATTAAGAAATTTAAGTTAATACAAATATTAACAAGTTGCGTGTTTTTTTAGTCTCTGTACAGCTGGGACAGGTATGATATTCGAAACAATCGAATATTAGGACCATGTTCTGCCCCTATATTAGGGGTCTTACTGTACTGGCGACTAAACTACTGACATTTGTAAAGTACCACTACTTCATGGAGTACGGTTACTTCAGAAATAACGTTTGCAAGTACATTTACTTCTTAAGTGGTTATGTCCCCATAACCCTGTAACCTGTACCCTATACTCTATCGCCATGTACCCATGGTACTATGTATCCATGTACTGTGTACCCAACTTCTGTGTACCCATGGCACCACAATCTGTAGAGATTTATATCCTTTGTTATCTGATGTACCTATCTCTGAGAACTTATATATCAAATTTTGCAGGTTTATGATTGAGCAAGCACTTCTTGTGTTTTATACACCATATTGCAGTATAAGAATGATTTGAATATCTTTCTTATACATACACTCAGTCATAATTTCTTTTGGCACTTTGTCTTAAAATTACTATGTAATTTTTAAGCTTTTTGTAAGCGCGCTTTAAAATTGAGTGGCTCACAGACGCCGGATATACACGTGGGAATTCTCACTGATGAAGGCTACCCAGCCGAAAGGAAAGGTCACTTTTGATTTTCCTTTGAGATACGTGTAAGCATACAATAGCATAGTATAGTTTATATATTAGTTTATATACTAGTCTAGCGTATATTGTATAGTGTATATATTTGTATACCTGGTATTCGAAGGGAGTTGACCGACCATGTCTACACCAGTAGACACAACCCTAAACCCTCCTCGACACCCCGTCGATTCAAGCTGCGATCCGGTGAGGCCTTTGAACCCTCCGTTTGATTGCGCTGCCACCCTTCCTGGATGAGCATATTACTGCCTCCTTTCGGAAGAAGGTGGCCCTTAATGGAAAAATCAAAGCCAAAAGGGTCGCCATCCAAAAGTTGAAGGAGCATGATGCCAATGGCACTTGCCCCAAATTGCTTCAGATTTCACATACGATGACTTTCTCAGATAGTCTTCGTGAATCTGATTCTGAATTTGTACAAATTCAAAGCGAACATTTTGAGGAGATTAAATGTCGCTACCTCAAGCAGGCAACTGCTATTGCTCTTAAAGTGCAACATAAGGAACTCAAAACTCTTAACATCAAATTTGGGAATTTGGATACGGAATTTTTCAATAAGACTTGTGAATTTTTCGATAGCCAGCAAACAGCCGCTTATCCTACCGTTCCTCTTACAAAGGCGCTTGTCGTTGGAATGGAGGTAGGATTTTGTGGCCGTTATTCGGGTGAATTTCACTTTCCCTATTTGATCAAATTGGCCAAACGTAAATATTGTGCCAAATGGTCAGAATATCTGGACGGTCTTAATGAGCGCCTCGCTTTAATGACAATCAAAGCCAAAGCCCTTGAGACTAAACGAGTCGCCGCCGAAGACACCGAAATGGGTCTTCCGGATGAGGCCAAGATTAAAGATCATGTATCTCAGGTGGCTGACGCAAAGTTCAAGAAACTGGAGTCTATGATTCGAAGCATGTCTAGCCCGAACCCCGAGTCGCGTCAAAAAAAACAGTCCCGCCGGGAAGAAGACCCAGTCACCTGGCCAGAAACCCAAACCCAAGCAACGCCTCCAAAACGCAAAAGGTGGTTACACTGGGCAAAACAAGCGAAAGCTCGCCGGTCACTCTTCCGGAAACAAAAACGCAAAGCCAAGAACCAAGCACTAAAAGCAGCTTCTTTAGCAGTTAAAACGTCTTTAATACAAATAAAGTCTTTAACCAAAACTAATGTTTTACGTTTATTTGGTGATCGACCGGTTTTTACTTATAACCTTCGTATTACGAATTTAGCATTTCATGACCTTCCCCCAAATGACACGAACCTTCCTCATGGTCTGTCTAAATTGTTAGGTCTCAGCTTTAAATTCTGTCCAACACCACCCCGAATTAAAACGGCAGCCTATTTGGCTGGGTTTGACTCACTAATTCGTTGTATTAAAATTAATGCTGCGTTTCGTGATAAACCAGATCGTACATATGCTAAACAACTCTATGTACCGAATCCATCTTGGAAACCCCCCGAATTAGCTAACTCCAATTTCACGCAATTTCTAAATCACACTAAATCCAAGTTAAATGATAGCTTGAACTTATATACATTTCGTCATAGCTACAATTTATCACATGAAGGTCGACGATTACTTCGTAAACTTCGTTGTATCCAAAGTCTAAGATTCTTGGCAACCGATAAAAATCTCGGTCCAGCGGTAATGTTACCGGAACAATATATCCGTTGGTGTTTAAATCACCTTCGTTCCGATGATATTTACATTAATTGTCCAAATATTCCATTACGTGCTCTACAACGAATGGTTACTAATTGGCACTCACGAGTTTGTAAGAAATACCCCGAACTTGTACGAAATATTAAAATCGTAGTACATAACATTTCGACTACAATACCGGCTCGATTTTATGGAATGCCTAAAATTCATAAAACTGCGATGGGTTTTCGCCCAATTGTAGCGTCTGTTAATTCGCCACTATATGGCCTTTCTAAATGGATTGACTTTATGCTTCAACCATATATATTAGAATGTGCCCATATTTTACAAAGTAGAAGGCGTTTATTACCCATATTAAGCGATCTACATATCCCTCCAAATTCCTTTTTGGCTACATGGGATGCTACAGCATTGTACACCTCCATACCCAATTCGGCCGGATTACATGCGATATCGTGGTGGCTCCGCAACAATAAATATCGTGATATTCTTCTTGAAGGGATGAAACTTCTTATGGACCATAATTGGTTCGAATTTGGGAACACTTCTTGGCGTCAAACCCGTGGTGCTGCCATGGGTACGCCGACTGCTCCAAGTTATGCTACTTTATTTTTAGCATATTACGAGATCAATGTGCTTTTCCCAATGTTTAAAGAGTCTTTAGTGTTTTATACTAGGTATATTGATGATGTTTTTATTATATTTTCATACAATACAACACCTCCCTGGTATTATAATCGATTTTAAGCTGTTATGTCTCGTACCTTTCCAGGTATTCAATGGACATCACCTAGTCAACAACTTGATTTGACTATTGATGTACCACCTCATACTGCTGATTTTCTTGATTTAACTATTAATCTTGAAGATAATAAAATTTATACGCAAACATTTCAGAAAGCGTTAAATTTGTACTTGTATCCCTGTCCAACTAGTGCCCACCCGCCTGGTGTTTTTACAGGTTTAATACATGGTTTAATCCGCACATACTATATTCAAAATACTAAACGTATTGACTTTTTATCAACGTTACGACTTTTGTATAAACGCCTTCGTGCACGCGGATTTTCGGAATACTTCCTAAAGCGTACATTTACATTAGCTTACGCTAAATGTCGCGAGACAAATCCTAAAATTCAGGATAACTCTCAGATTATTCCATACAAAATTACATTCGATCCTAATGGCCCTCGCCAAAAAACACTAAATGAAATGTTAAATTTTCGTCAGCTTAAGTTTTTGCTTCTACGGCATCGTCTTGGCCGTTTGGTTGTCTGTTATAAACGACCACCTAACTTAGCGTCATTGTTGATACGTGCTAAAATTAATCCTAATTTTAAGCCTACTCCGCTAGAACGATTAAATTCTTAGTATCTAAAACTAATTTAATAATTAAGAAATTTAAGTTAATACAAATATTAACAAGTTGCGTGTTTTTTTAGTCTCTGTACAGCTGGGACAGGTATGATATTCGAAACAATCGAATATTAGGACCATGTTCTGCCCCTATATTAGGGGTCTTACTGTACTGGCGACTAAACTACTGACATTTGTAAAGTACCACTACTTCATGGAGTACGGTTACTTCAGAAATAACGTTTGCAAGTACATTTACTTCTTAAGTGGTTATGTCCCCATAACCCTGTAACCTGTACCCTATACTCTATCGCCATGTACCCATGGTACTATGTATCCATGTACTGTGTACCCAACTTCTGTGTACCCATGGCACCACAATCTGTAGAGATTTATATCCTTTGTTATCTGATGTACCTATCTCTGAGAACTTATATATCAAATTTTGCAGGTTTATGATTGAGCAAGCACTTCTTGTGTTTTATACACCATATTGCAGTATAAGAATGATTTGAATATCTTTCTTATACATACACTCAGTCATAATTTCTTTTGGCACTTTGTCTTAAAATTACTATGTAATTTTTAAGCTTTTTGTAAGCGCGCTTTAAAATTGAGTGGCTCACAGACGCCGGATATACACGTGGGAATTCTCACTGATGAAGGCTACCCAGCCGAAAGGAAAGGTCACTTTTGATTTTCCTTTGAGATACGTGTAAGCATACAATAGCATAGTATAGTTTATATATTAGTTTATATACTAGTCTAGCGTATATTGTATAGTGTATATATTTGTATACCTGGTATTCGAAGGGAGTTGACCGACCATGTCTACACCAGTAGACACAACCCTAAACCCTCCTCGACACCCCGTCGATTCAAGCTGCGATCCGGTGAGGCCTTTGAACCCTCCGTTTGATTGCGCTGCCACCCTTCCTGGATGAGCATATTACTGCCTCCTTTCGGAAGAAGGTGGCCCTTAATGGAAAAATCAAAGCCAAAAGGGTCGCCATCCAAAAGTTGAAGGAGCATGATGCCAATGGCACTTGCCCCAAATTGCTTCAGATTTCACATACGATGACTTTCTCAGATAGTCTTCGTGAATCTGATTCTGAATTTGTACAAATTCAAAGCGAACATTTTGAGGAGATTAAATGTCGCTACCTCAAGCAGGCAACTGCTATTGCTCTTAAAGTGCAACATAAGGAACTCAAAACTCTTAACATCAAATTTGGGAATTTGGATACGGAATTTTTCAATAAGACTTGTGAATTTTTCGATAGCCAGCAAACAGCCGCTTATCCTACCGTTCCTCTTACAAAGGCGCTTGTCGTTGGAATGGAGGTAGGATTTTGTGGCCGTTATTCGGGTGAATTTCACTTTCCCTATTTGATCGAATTGGCCAAACGTAAATATTGTGCCAAATGGTCAGAATATCTGGACGGTCTTAATGAGCGCCTCGCTTTAATGACAATCAAAGCCAAAGCCCTTGAGACTAAACGAGTCGCCGCCGAAGACACCGAAATGGGTCTTCCGGATGAGGCCAAGATTAAAGATCATGTATCTCAGGTGGCTGACGCAAAGTTCAAGAAACTGGAGTCTATGATTCGAAGCATGTCTAGCCCGAACCCCGAGTCGCGTCAAAAAAAACAGTCCCGCCGGGAAGAAGACCCAGTCACCTGGCCAGAAACCCAAACCCAAGCAACGCCTCCAAAACGCAAAAGGTGGTTACACTGGGCAAAACAAGCGAAAGCTCGCCGGTCACTCTTCCGGAAACAAAAACGCAAAGCCAAGAACCAAGCACTAAAAGCAGCTTCTTTAGCAGTTAAAACGTCTTTAATACAAATAAAGTCTTCAACCAAAACTAATGTTTTACGTTTATTTGGTGATCGACCGGTTTTTACTTATAACCTTCGTATTACGAATTTAGCATTTCATGACCTTCCCCCAAATGACACGAACCTTCCTCATGGTCTGTCTAAATTGTTAGGTCTCAGCTTTAAATTCTGTCCAACACCACCCCGAATTAAAACGGCAGCCTATTTGGCTGGGTTTGACTCACTAATTCGTTGTATTAAAATTAATGCTGCGTTTCGTGATAAAACCAGATCGTACATATGCTAAACAACTCTATGTACCGAATCCATCTTGGAAACCCCCCGAATTAGCTAACTCCAATTTCACGCAATTTCTAAATCACACTAAATCCAAGTTAAATGATAGCTTGAACTTATATACATTTCGTCATAGCTACAATTTATCACATGAAGGTCGACGATTACTTCGTAAACTTCGTTGTATCCAAAGTCTAAGATTCTTGGCAACCGATAAAAACCTCGGTCCAGCGGTAATGTTACCGGAACAATATATCCGTTGGTGTTTAAATCACCTTCGTTCCGATGATATTTACATTAATTGTCCAAATATTCCATTACGTGCTCTACAACGAATGGTTACTAATTGGCACTCACGGGTTTGTAAGAAATACCCCGAACTTATACGAAATATTAAAATCGTAGTACATAACATTTCGACTACAATACCGGCTCGATTTTATGGAATGCCTAAAATTCATAAAACTCCGATGGGTTTTCGCCCAATTGTAGCGTCTGTTAATTCGCCACTATATGGCCTTTCTAAATGGATTGACTTTATGCTTCAACCATATATATTAGAATGTGCCCATATTTTACAAAGTAGTAGGCGTTTATTACCCATATTAAGCGATCTACATATCCCTCCAAATTCCTTTTTGGCTACATGGGATGCTACAGCATTGTACACCTCCATACCCAATTCGGCCGGATTACATGCGATATCGTGGTGGCTCCGCAACAATAAATATCGTGATATTCTTCTTGAAGGGATGAAACTTCTTATGGACCATAATTGGTTCGAATTTGGGAACACTTCTTGGCGTCAAACCCGTGGTGCTGCCATGGGTACGCCGACTGCTCCAAGTTATGCTACTTTATTTTTAGCATATTACGAGATCAATGTGCTTTTCCCAATGTTTAAAGAGTCTTTAGTGTTTTATACTAGGTATATTGATGATGTTTTTATTATATTTTCATACAATACAACACCTCCCTGGTATTATAATCGATTTTAAGCTGTTATGTCTCGTACCTTTCCAGGTATTCAATGGACATCACCTAGTCAACAACTTGATTTGACTATTGATGTACCACCTCATACTGCTGATTTTCTTGATTTAACTATTAATCTTGAAGATAATAAAATTTATACGCAAACATTTCAGAAAGCGTTAAATTTGTACTTGTATCCCTGTCCAACTAGTGCCCACCCGCCTGGTGTTTTTACAGGTTTAATACATGGTTTAATCCGCACATACTATATTCAAAATACTAAACGTATTGACTTTTTATCAACGTTACGACTTTTGTATAAACGCCTTCGTGCACGCGGATTTTCGGAATACTTCCTAAAGCGTACATTTACATTAGCTTACGCTACATGTCGCGAGACAACTCCTAAAATTCAGGATAACTCTCAGATTATTCCATACAAAATTACATTCGATCCTAATGGCCCTCGCCACAAAACACTAAATGAAATGTTAAATTTTCGTCAGCTTAAGTTTTTGCTTCTGCGGCATCGTCTTGGCCGTTTGGTTGTCTGTTATAAACGACCACCTAACTTAGCGTCATTATTGATACGTGCTAAAATTAATCCTAATTTTAAGCCTACTCCGCTAGAACGATTAAATTCTTAGTATCTAAAACTAATTTAATAATTAAAGAAAAATTAAGTCAATACAAATATTAACAAGTTGCGTGTTTTTTAGTCTCTGTACAGTTAAGACAGGTATGATATTCGAAACAATCGAATATTAGGACCATGTTCTGCCCCTATATTAGGGGTCTTACTGTACTGGCGACTAAACTACTGACATTTGTAAAGTACCACTGCTTCATGGAGTACGGTTACTTCAGAAATAACGTTTGCAAGTACATTTACTTCTTAAGTGGTTATGTCCCCATAACCCTGTAACCTGTACCCTATACTCTATCGCCATGTACCCATGGTACTATGTATCCATGTACTGTGTACCCAACTTCTGTGTACCCATGGCACCACAATCTGTAGAGATTTATATCCTTTGTTATCTGATGTACCTATCTCTGAGAACTTATATATCAAATTTTGCAGGTTTATGATTGAGCAAGCACTTCTTGTGTTTTATACACCATATTGCAGTATAAGAATGATTTGAATATCTTTCTTATACATACACTCAGTCATAATTTCTTTCGGCACTTTGTCTTAAAATTACTATGTAATTTTTAAGCTTTTTGTAAGCGCGCTTTAAAATTGAGTGGCTCACAGACGCCGGATATACACGTGGGAATTCTCACTGATGAAGGCTACCCAGCCGAAAGGAAAGGTCACTTTTGATTTTCCTTTGAGATACGTGTAAGCATACAATAGCATAGTATAGTTTATATATTAGTTTATATACTAGTCTAGCGTATATTGTATAGTGTATATATTTGTATACCTGGTATTCGAAGGGAGTTGACCGACCATGTCTACACCAGTAGACACAACCCTAAACCCTCCTCGACACCCCGTCGATTCAAGCTGCGATCCGGTGAGGCCTTTGAACCCTCCGTTGATTGCGCTGCCACCCTTCCTGGATGAGCATATTACTGCCTCCTTTCGGAAGAAGGTGGCCCTTAATGGAAAAATCAAAGCCAAAAGGGTCGCCATCCAAAAGTTGAAGGAGCATGATGCCAATGGCACTTGCCCCAAATTGCTTCAGATTTCACATACGATGACTTTCTCAGATAGTCTTCGTGAATCTGATTCTGAATTTGTACAAATTCAAAGCGAACATTTTGAGGAGATTAAATGTCGCTACCTCAAGCAGGCAACTGCTATTGCTCTTAAAGTGCAACATAAGGAACTCAAAACTCTTAACATCAAATTTGGGAATTTGGATACGGAATTTTTCAATAAAACTTGTGAATTTTTCGATAGCCAGCAAACAGCCGCTTATCCTACCGTTCCTCTTACAAAGGCGCTTGTCGTTGGAATGGAGGTAGGATTTTGTGGCCGTTATTCGGGTGAATTTCACTTTCCCTATTTGATCGAATTGGCCAAACGTAAATATTGTGCCAAATGGTCAGAATATCTGGACGGTCTTAATGAGCGCCTCGCTTTAATGACAATCAAAGCCAAAGCCCTTGAGACTAAACGAGTCGCCGCCGAAGACACCGAAATGGGTCTTCCGGATGAGGCCAAGATTAAAGATCTTGTATCTCAGGTGGCTGACGCAAAGTTCAAGAAACTGGAGTCTATGATTCGAAGCATGTCTAGCCCGAACCCCGAGTCGCGTCAAAAAAAACAGTCCCGCCGGGAAGAAGACCCAGTCACCTGGCCAGAAACCCAAACCCAAGCAACGCCTCCAAAACGCAAAAGGCGGTTACACTGGGCAAAACAAGCGAAAGCTCGCCGGTCACTCTTCCGGAAACAAAAACGCAAAGCCAAGAACCAAGCACTAAAAGCAGCTTCTTTAGCAGTTAAAATCTAAGATACTAAATCCCTCATGAGAAAAAGCACGCTATTGGCAGTGATGCTTATAGAGCAGGTTTGAAGCTGATTTATTGAGATGTTTAACTTCTAGCACTATATATAGAAGCAGCTACTCTTTACTTCGTAATAGTCACTATTTATCTGGCTTTGTAGCCCATTAATATGTAATCATGTATAGCCACTATACTTAACTAAGTATAGTGACCACGTGGCTCTCTGCTCTGCACGATGCGTCCCTTCGAACCTTTGGTACGGTCACATCACCCTACCACTGTACCCAAGGTACAGCCATACCACAATGGCGTGGCAGGTGTGTATGTACAATACACATCTCTTTGTAACCGCGTTACACCCTCCCACCTATCCGTGGGACCCGGCTAACCCACGATTTTCGAACTTAACGTGTACTTTTGCCGTTTTCATTTTGTTTCCACTTTGCTTACATCGCAATTAAGTGCCTCGCACTTGCGTAGTTACGTACCACGCTCTTTGAGCACCTGTGCTATGCAAACAAGCTATTAGTCGCACCCTAGTGTTTCGACACTTGCTCCTTTATCATACAGTGCATTGCACTCACGCTAAAGAGCTCAGTATTACGACACTTGCTTATAAGCGTTGAGTTGCCTAGCACTTGGTATTGATGCCCATTAGTGAATACGAACACTTGCTTTACAGCATCAAATGCCTGGCACTTCCTTATAACATTAACATTCCAGTGTTTTAAACACTTGCTTTTTAGCGTGTAAGCATATACGTAATCAACACTAGCTTATAAAGCACCTTAGTGTGTAACACTCGCTAACAATGCACATTAGTGTCTAAAAAACACTAGCTTATCAAGCACCTAAGTCGCTTGATTATGAAGCACATCCTCGCTTACCACTTTAGCGTATGAGGCACCTATAACGTGTTCAACACGTCGCTTATAAGGCACCAAAGTGTTTAACACGTGCTTATACAAAGCACCTGAAGAGTTGAACACTTGCTTATATAAGCCGAAAGTTGAGGTGGAAACACTTGCTGATATAAGCACGCATAGTGCTTCACACTTGCTTACATAAAGCACCTTAGTGTTCAGCACTTGCTTATAAAGCGCCTAAATGTTTAACACGTGCTTATAAAGCACCTTAATGTTTAACGCTTGCTTCTACAACAGCCCCTAAGAGTCTTAAAACCTTGCTTATATAAGCCGAAAGTGGCCAGTACACTTCTGATAAAGCTTCATAGCGTGCTATATCACACTTGCTTATATAAAGCCCCAAAGTGTTTACTTTTGCTTATATAGCGCAACATTGTTTACCACTTGCGTTATATAGAAAAGCTTCAAAAAAATTAATACGCGTAATCTTTGCTTCTGAAGCAGATAATGGTACTTTTCACGCGAGTGAGGTACCGGCAACTGCTTCCCAAGAAGGTCAGAGGTGAAGCCTAACTACTGACCTTGCTTCCACATCACTTAGTGCGAGGAAGCATCCGCCGACCACTGTCGCCGCTTCTGATCTTCCCGATCAATAGCTTCAACGACGTCTGGGTAGTCTTGCCGTAGGGGTATCATCGTACTCCCACGAGTCATACGACTGAGGGTACCCCCTCCACTTGACCAGATACTGGGTGTGGCCCTGGTGAAGACGTCGCGCCAATAGACGCTCGACGTGAAACTGATGGTGACCCAGCTCATCAGTCAGCGTTGGCGGGGGTCGGTGACCCATCGATCCATGAGCTTTTGGTACGCCTTCAGCGTCCATATGCACCTCCGGTACCGTAATACCCGCCTCCTTCGGCCGAGAGTATGGAGGAAAACCTCTCGAAGTCCACCGAGGCTGGGTTGAGATATGGCTTTAGCAAGCCCACGTAGAACATAGGGTGTGTTCGCATCTTCTTTGGCAGGTTCAGCGTATACGCTAAACCTTTCTTGCTTATGACCCTGAAAGGTCCAATAAAGAGTGGACGCAGTTTGGTTTTACATACCACAGACACTGCGCGTGTCGGTAAATTCCTAGCGTTTAATAAAACCAAGTCTCCCACTTTGAGCTCATGTTCGTTCTTCCTGCCTTTGACAACCGCTTGTTCCTTCTGAACATCCTGGCTTTCAGCCATAGCGTCTTTGACGCGACGTAATACGTCAAAACGCGTTGACAGATACGCTTCCACCTTCTTGCAAATCGCAACAGGGCTGATATCAGCCAAGCCTTCGGCTATCTTTCCCTAATCGGTAGGGAGTACCCTTATCGGAACGCGAGGATTAGACAAACCATTCACATAGAATGGGTGAAGCCTGTCGAGGCATGCACCCCGTTATTCAACGCAAACTCTACCAGTGGGAGCATCGTGCTCCATTGCTTTGGTGTTTCAGCACAAACACTGCGAAGCATATCACCAATAACGCAGATGATCCGCCGTGGACATGTCCAGTCGAGTGCCGAGCACTTTAAAGACTGACGTCCAAAATTTACCCGTAAAACGGGGGTCTCTATCAGAGATAATTGCCACGGGCAATCCGTGTTGCCGAAACACACGATCCATGAACAGCTTTGCTATTCCTTCTCCGTCGATGGAGTCCGGCACTGCCGCTAAGTGAGCCATCTTGCTCAGTCGGTCAACAAAGACCAAAATCCCAGTATTGCGTACCGCATTGCGCGGTAGGCCAAACACAACGTCCATACTAATGGACTGCCACAACCCCGAGGGTACAGGCAAACACGCCAAAGGCGCAGCCATACTAGGCGATGGCCTCACCCTTTGACACGTTTTACACGTGCGTACATATGTACCAACCCATTTATACAACTTGGGCCACCAATAATGGGTGCTCACCGAGCTGTAGGTCTTCTCACGACCTAAATGACCACCAAGTGGTGTATCATGAGCCTCATAAAAGTATCTGATACTTGAGGTCCTCATCATGAGGCACCACAACACGAGGCTGGTCATCCGACCCTGTACTATAGTACAACAGACCATCGGTCAGTGCAAAACGATGTAATCTCGCACGATTACGTGGTGACAGCTTCACCTTAGAGTTTTCAAACTCTGCGCTACCCAGCGCCTGCACAATGGCAACACATGTGTGGTGAAGCGTTTCAAGAATTGGTAGGCCAGAGGACCGGTGGGGGGCAAAGAGACGGGGACCCACTTAGGAGAAGCGACCGTTAGGTAAGTGACAGAGAGACGAAGCGCTCAAACAAGGGACGGGGGACGACCGTTGAATAAGGAGTATGTACGGTTTAAGCTTGCTCCATTCAGAGGAGTACACCGCGATTTGTCTGATAGGCCGCGGCTCTTTGAGGTGGAACTCAGTGTATTCGAGGTTGACCCTGGCCCCTCGTTGGTAGACCCTGGTCTTTCGTGGTAGACGGGCGGTTTGGGAGCCCTTATCTCTCGTTGATAGACCCTGGTCCCTCGGCTACCCGGCCCCTCGGTCCCTCGACAAGCAGAATCAAGAATCAGGTCTCGGGGGTAAGGATAGAGTAAAGAAGTTAGAAGGTAGGACTATATTAAATACTACTCAATTTGCGATCTACATAGCACACCTCCGTCGTGATTCCAAGGTACTAACTAAGTCTACCCACCTGTTCCGGGAAAGGATACATTTTGGCCCCCCGTCGAAGACAGTTGTGTGGTAAGACCCAAGTGCGACTAGAGCCCCAAAATACATTTGGCCTGTGAGTTCGTCCGAGTAGTACCCCCCAACTCAACCCGCTATCGGAAGCGGTCTTCCTACCCTAGTGGTCTGGGAGCAGGTAAAGGCCAGGCAGTTAACAACCCTGAGACATCAAGGAAGGAGAAGGCCAGGGTTGAGTATCTCCCCTGAAGAATTTGGTTATAAGTCCACCCTCGACCTAGTCGACCGAGTGGCCACCTACCCGCCTACCGAGTGAAGTATACCCACTCGAGGCACCCCCAAGGTCGACCTCTCTCAAGGCCGACATTGTATCTCAACCAAGTCCTTCGAAGAGTGCACCTCGCCAGCCGACGGGTACACAAGGTGAGAGAAGGTCTATATGCGGCATCACGGTACCCCCTCCGACAGTCGGTAGTCCGGCATTGTGAGTGGTTTGGGGTCTCATTACGCAGTTTTGAGATCTCACTTCACCACATAGCCTTCATAAAGATTCAAAAATGGCCTAGTTACTTCCGCATACTTGTGACTATAAGTGCTAGAAAGCGTCCGACGACAGCTGTCGCCTTCATACAGTCGTGGTCAAAAGCGTCAACGGCGTCAGGGCAATCCTGTTGGAGGGGTACCTCATACTCCCACGAGTCGTACGACTGGGGCAACCCCTCCACTTCACCAAATATTGGGTATGACCCAGGTGACGACGCCGAGCCAAGAGACGTTCCACGTGGAACTGTTGATGACTCAATTCATCGATCATCGTCGGAGGAGGTCGATGACCCATTGACCTCTCATCTCTCTGAGATTGAGCGTCGCCTGACACTCCTGGAGCGTGATGCCCTTGCATCGGTGAGGTCTCACCTGTCATCGCTCGATGACCGTGTCGATCGACACCGTCGGTCTTTTGAGCGTTATTGCTCCGAGACCTCGGATCGCTTTACGGCGATTGAGCGTTCTCAAGCTGAGCTGCGATGTCAGATCGACCTCCTGGTTTGCCTCCAGCGTCCATATGCACCTCCGGTGTAGTACTATCCGCCTCCTTTGGACGGGGATATGGGGACAACCCCTAGAAGTCCACCGAGGCTGGGTTGAGATATGGCTTTAACAAG